AATTTTTTTTCAACATGGAAAAACTGCACAAAGCATTTTGAAAATATTTAATTATCGAGTTATTATCAAAAAAATTTATAGATGAATTTATATATTAATTTAATATTTTATATACGATTTCCAATAATTAAAGAAATTATTATCATTTATTTTTCTATAGGTTAGGAATTAAAATAAATATTTATCTTTGATAAAAGAAAATGAATATTTTTTTAGGAGTATAATTTTATAATACAGTTAAAATTGTTTAATAAATATAATATTGAATAAACTAAAAAATCAAATAAAAATATATAGAATTTATATAAATATCAGTAATAAATATCATTGCAATATTATTAGCTATTACTAATTAGATTATAAATTTATTTAGTTTTTTAAAATTTTAAATTGATATGTAACAATTATTACATTTTTTATTATCATAATAAATAATGATTCTCAATTTTTAATTAACAATGAATTCCTTTTTATTTTGTATATAATCACATAATAGATGTATTCTAATCAATTCACATTCGAAATTCCAATGTCGCGACATGTCGTATCGAACAAGTTCAATCAATAGAAAACAAGCGATATGTAAAACGGTCACATAAAATAAATCATATCAATTAATTTAACATATGAAATAGGGTACGCCTTTTTTGCAAATCATATTAATTTTACGACAGAAATAAGTTATAAAACACTTACATAATGCTAATGTTTCAACAAAAGAAAATATTCAAATGAATACACTTATTGTATTTGCAATTCTTTTTGCTAATGCGGCAATCTAGAGATATTATAAATAAAGCATTAAAATACAATATTCCATCTGTTAAAATATTTTATAAAAATTTATTCTAAGATTATATTTATTGTTTTATTATAGTTATAAAAATATATATTAATTTATAGATTATTTTTAGGACACAAATCATGAATAGAATATTGATATATGAATATGTTAAATATAATTATATATTCTAAGATTATATATTCTAAGATTTTTTAACATATAAATGCAAATTTTTTTATTTATTCTGTCAACCAATCAAATGTCGTTAATCAAAATATATAAGAAAAAACGGTTTATGTAACAAATAATTTAATAATTTAATAATATTTTTAATTTTTTTCTTTTTTCATTAAAAGTTTGTAAAAAATAATAAATTCTAAAAAATACTAATTAAAATATAAAATAAAATTTTTGTTACATTATCATCGTATATTATGTAATACTCAGTTAAATATTATTAATTCTTTTCATTATTCTTACCTTTATATAAGCATAGAAAAGTTAATAGAAAATTAATAATTAACTATGAAAATTTAATATTAAAATTTATTGAATACTTTAATTCTTGAAATTTATTAAAATTTGTTAAGTTAAATTATTTACTATACGACATGGGCCACTGATCACTAATTAATTACAACATGAGATATATAAGAATTCAATTTATTTAACGACTTAATTATCTAATTTTCTAATTAGACTTAATTTTTTACAAAAAAAATTGTGATTTTAATTATTTATTTTTGATTTTTTATAATGTAGAAATTTTTTGCTTTTAGCATTCATAACTGTTTATTTCATAATATGAAAAAATTAAAATCAAATATATTAAAATTTTATAAAACTTTGATTAATTTGTTTCTTAGTATAATGAAAATGAATAAATTATATTATTTTGATTGATATTTTGAGCAAATATTTTTTTGTAATTTGAAAAAAAGATTATCACAATATTTTTAATTGTTTAATTACATCTAAACAAAGATTTATTAGTAATTAAAAAAATTATTATTTGTTTGGTAATCGAAAAAAATATGATAATTAGATTGTTAATCTATATACAAGTTAAATATGAATATTAATCGTTCAGGGTTTTCTATCAGTATTCTTTAGATTTATTTTTATTGAAGAAAAAAAATAACAACGATACTTTAAATTGGACAAAGAAGATAAAAGAAAAGTATTAGTATTCGAAGAAAGACAAAGAGATCAAATTATCAATAAAAAGCAAGCAAAAAAGATGGATATTATGTTAAAGCATAAAATAAGAAAACATATTGCATCAAAAAAAGAAAAAAGATCATATTATATCAATATCTTAGTTTCATGTAATAAAAAAAAAAAATCTTATTCTAAAATATATTTGATCTATTTAAAATATATTTGCTTTAGAACGAAGAGATAATAGCATACAATTTTCTTCTTCAAAATAGCAAGAGAGAAAAAGTATCTATCAAAGAATATCTAAAAAAATGTAAAAATATATAATGCAAAAATATAACAAAATTTTGATTATCTAACAATTTTCTATCATAACCAATTTCGATAATTTTTAAATATATTGTCAAAATTAATATTTTGAATATGTTATAAAGAACAAGATTTTTAACATCTTTTTTCAATTGCAGTTTGATTTTATGTTCTGAAATATTCAAAGAATGTTAAATAGTATAAAATAAAATAGTATAAAAATAGTACATTTTTATATGTGTTTATACGTGTGCATTTATAACAATATATAAATATACATATGTTTTTTATCATTCGATATTTTTATAGTTGTTAGTTTAAATTAAATAATTAAACTAAATAATTAAATAATTAAAATAAAATTTTTAATCTTTTAATTAGACATAATTAGACATAAATAAGACATAAATAAATTTTTTTATTGTGCCATCTTAATTTAATCTAATCAAAAGAAATTCATAAAACATAAAACAAATTTCATTTTAAATTACCTTTTATTAAATTTTTATTATTTAAATTAGATTAAAATATGAGATGAGATAAAATTTAATATATCGATAGACTTTTGTGAGAATCTTAAAAGTTTGCCTTAAAAGAAACTATAAGCAGATAATATCTGTATTTAATATAATATATATAATAATAGATTATATATATTTATACGGTAATTTATTTTAACAAAATATCAGATAAAATCAATGTTTGAAGTTTCAATATTTTTTCGTTCTTTTGAAATAATTATTTCTTAACATTTACAAAATAAGATGCCAAAATTTTAAATTATAAAATTTTTAGTTTAGTTTTTAGTGCTTTATTGTGAACAAATATTATTGTAAAAAATAGTTCCAAATAAATTATATCCAAAATTAAAAAAATATTAAAACTTTTGAGAATTGATTTCACTCTCTCAAAAAAAATTTTCTGTCGACAAAAAAAATTATTCTATGCATATCATTAAGCTTTATATACATATAAATTTTCAATAAAATCAATATTTTCGGATTTTCATATAATATATAAATATTTTTGTAATTGATTATATATTATATATGACAAACTTACTACTATTGTAATTTAGTTTTAATTTATATAATTATATAATTTATATTAAATAATATATATATAATATGAATATTATTGAATATTGAATGTATATTATTAAAATTCAAAAAACAAAACATTAGATTATAATGTAGGAATAATTGAAACAATTATTTTTATTAATAGTAAATTTTCTATTACAAATTTTGCATTATATTGAAAAATGTTTTAAATATATAATGGCATTATGTTTTTGCATTTATTTTATTGGAAAAGTTTTAGGTATTCATTTGTTATATGGCGGATTTAGTGAGTATAGAACATAATGGTCACTAAGGATTCAAAAAAATTATCAATTGAAATATTAAATTGTTGTATATGAAATGATTTTGTAAATCCGTAAAATCATTCAAAAAATGATATATATATTTTAATTATATATTAAAAAGAAAAGTAAAAATTTAATATTTTTTGTGTATCTTTTTTTTTCTTCATTAAATCTATCATTGTTATTCTATATTATTACATATAAGAAGTATGTATATTTATAAATATAATATAAAAACTAAAAAATTTTTATTTTTCGTTTTATATATATATATCTACTGTAATTCATCATTAATGATCGTTGATCAAAAAATTTAATTGATTTTATTTTTTTAACTTTCAAATTATCTTTTCTCGAATAACTATCATAAATATTCTATTCGAGAAAGTAACAACTTCTCTAATCCTAACTTAATGTAACTTCTCGGTTTCAATTATCGCTTCACTAACCAGTAGACTTCTGTATTACATCTTATTTCAAGAAAATGAAACGCAATAGACAATTTTTAGATTTTATATTCATTATAAAATATATTGCACATTTTATTAAAAATAAATTTTCAAACTATGTTCATAAATTTTTATATAAAGTTTTGTAATTTTATTACTTTAATTAATTGCTTAAATTTCATTCATGCATTCTTATTTTATATTGATAACAAATATTGCAATGAGATTGCAATATTAAGATTAATATAAAATATAAAATATAATATGTAAAATTTTTTAACGCTTATATAATCAAACATTATTTTTTACTATGTCTTTTTAATAATTCAATTTCATACATCTTGAAATGACATTAAAAATTGTTAATAATAATTATCTATGAAATTAAAATATTTTAATTTATTATTTCTATAATATATTTTTAGTTTTTAAGCTTAATATTATTTTACTAATAAAAAAATTAAATAATAAAATTTAAAAATTATTATTCTTAATATGTAGTATTATAATTTCATTAATAAATTTTTCTGTTTATGTATTTAAATTTATTTAAACTTGAAACTACCGTTATTAACGAAAAATATTTTCATTCAATCATATATTAAAATATACATATTATTAAATAAATATTAACAAATGTTTTATGAAATTAATATACTAATATACTATAATATATAATTTATTCTATTCCTATAATATTTAAATCGTTTAAAATATAATTTATGTTAAAAAATTTATTTTCATTAATTATTAAACATGTTCGAAATTACTATTTCATCATACTTTTTACATTTTCGTTAATTATTCATAAGAAAAATATATTTAATAAAATATTGCAAGATGAGCAATATTTTCCACATAGATAAGTTTCATACTATACAAAAAACTACAACTGAAAGCAATAATATATATATATATATTCTCTTACCTGTTTATCTGGCTCTTTGCCTTTGGCGGTAATGAGACGATCGCAGTAGCAACCCTCTAACAAAATAACGCCGCTGGGCCTCGAACAGGTTTCGTTTTCATAATAGAATAGTAAGTTCTGTAATATAAATATCTATATGTTCAAATGTATAGTATATTATAGTATATCATTATGTCTATAGAAAAGTATAAATGTTATTTTATATTTCGTTTTTTTTTTTACATTAAAATAAATATCATATAAACATCATATAAAAATAAAAAAAATAAAATATTTCATTTATTTTTAAATAAGAAATTAACAAAATATTCTACATTACAATCAAAATATTGAATATTATTATTCATATATAAATATATAATTTATAATTCTATTTTTGAAAGTTACGAAATAAAATAAATTTATATTTATGAATTAAAAATGAATTTTTTTTAGATGTATTTTCTTAAATCTTATATTGATTGATTTAAAAACATACATAACTTTTATAATACGTACAATGACTTTATAAAATATTAGCATATTTTCAAAGAATAACTTTTTTTAAAATTTGACTTAATAACTTTAATTATTTTGAAAAGTTAGAAAATATTATATAAAAAAAATTTTGCAAAGATTGCAATTTATCAAAACTGCGAAAATAATAGTGAAATCATTTTTTTCAACTTTTTTATCTCAATTTTTAATTTTAAATTATGAAAATTTAAAAAATACATTTTGATTTGAATTTATATCAGTTATATATATGCTAAAAATATCATTGAAATCGATTGTTATAAACAAAAGATTAAAAATAGTAAAAATTGCAATTTTTCACGATTTTTGGTTAAAAAATTTTAAATTCACAATTTTAATATTTTTGCATTTTTCGATACTTGTTATTTGTTTCTGCATTAATCGATTTTAATGAAATTTTCAGTACAATATATAATTAACATAAATATTCAGAATGTACTTTTAAATTTTCATTGCAGACTCAGTTGTAAAAAAAATTGTAAAGAATTATTACAAGATTCTCAAGATACGTTTTTTATTTTAATTTTATTATTTTGAAACAATTCAAATCCAAGTTAAATCCAATTTTAAAAAGTTATCATGTTTTAAAGTATGCCAATATTTTTTAGAATCATTGTAAGTAATTTTCCGAAGGTACTTCCGCGCACAATTGCAGAACAATTCTATTGGAGTGGAGATGCTCTCTTTTTGATAGCGTGTCAAATTAGTTCACGGTACTCATGCTTATTGCTCGCTTCACTCCGTTACAAGTTCTACCGATCAATTTTTCGTTCAATAACCATGTGTTATTTAAATTTTACCCTTTTGTTCTACTTTTGTAGTATTTCAACGCATTAAAAAACTTCGAGTATCGAACTGAATTCTCAAATAAGAATGAAAGGTTACAAAATTCCATTTGGATTTATTGTTGTAATAAAAATACAACTATATCAATAAAAATACAAAATTGTTAATATTTTAAAATCAATTCGTTCTCTATGGAAAAAAATTATGTAATAAAAATAACGAATATTATCAAATAAAAGATGAAAACTATCTCATAGATAAAACGAGAACATGACCCCTTTTCATGAACAACTTTCCAAAAGATTGCAAGTTAATCAAAGCTTCACATAAACTTTTCACTGTAAAACTTGATAATGTTTTCAAGAAACTCTTGGAAAAGTTACTGAAATAGAGCTTTCGATTCCTTTTTTAAAACAATAAAAAAGAATTTTTGATAGTGCGAGCAAAAAATTTACTGATTAAAATTTAATGATTTTATGCAAAAAATTTCTAATAAAGTAAACATAATCTGTTGTAATGAACAAGTAACTGTTATAAAACTACAATTATTTCTTTATTATAAAAATAATGAAGAGTTTCATTTAATAAAAACAAATATATATATATTTCTTTAAATGCTAACCAATTTGATATACAATAATTCAATTGTTTATTTTGTTTCTATATACAATTAAATTAGTTTGAAATTAAAAAAGAATATAAAAGAAAATTGATTGTTTTAATAAATATTAAGTGAATTTTTATAATAATGAGAATAAGCAATGAATTGATTTAATAAAGGGTTAAACAAATTTTAATTTTTTATACGAATTGTAGAAATAACAAATTTGCACGAAATGAAATATAAAGCTGAAAATTTTGTTATCATGCGAAACTATTAATTGAAAATCTTTATGTATTATAAGTACACGTGCATACAAATTTACTACAACAAATTTTTTATTTAAAAAACTGATTTCTAAAAAACAAAAAAAAAATAGTTTTTGTTTTAAAAATTCGGAATTTAAAAATTCGAATTAATTAACATAAAAATGATATAAGATATCATTTACCTGATATAAAACGAACCAACGTAATTGCCACTTGGTTGAATCAGCAGTTCGTTTGTGCAAATATCCACTCAATGAGTGATCGTAATTGGCTTTCTCTGAGAGCATCACAAGCTGCGAGTCGTTTACTCTCACTGCAACATGTAATGAATATCACACGTCAAATGATATGTAACCGAATTCACAATTTGTACATTCAAATCCAATGTTTTTGGATTCAGTATGTACATTTCCAATCTGTTTAGTTATCACTATTGTTCTCCTCTGATGAATTTATTCACCATGTTATAGTAATAGATTTAACAATAATTGAACATTGATTGAAAAAATATTTTTCCTTTTTATTATTTTCTCTATATCTAATTTTTTATTTTATAATGATTATTGATCGAATGCTTGATTATTATTAATTTTGATTAAAAATTAATCAAAACAACTATTTCAGATTCAGTATAAAAATTATGCAACTATTATTTAACAGTATTTTTATACTTTTTTGTTTTATTATTTTTTATTTTAAATAGAATAAAAATTGATAAACATAATAAACATGTTTATGTTCTATTTTCTTACTGATTTTAATGAAAATCTTGATGTTAAAAATATTTTTTTCTATTTAATTATTTTTTTAATTATTTTCTATTTATTTTCTATTTAACCATATTTCATTTTTTTGATTTCGAGTTACGATTTCCATAAAAATATTTTTCATATTAATGTTATTATCTTTTATTTTTTCAAAGTTATTGGAAACCGTTTTTTTTTTATTATATTTTTCGTTATTTATATATCTATGTAAATATTTAAAAAAATTTTATTCAAAGAAACATATTCAAAAAGTGAAGTCTAACTAACAATAGTTAAACAAAGTATTAATATATTCAACTTTAGAAAATTGATTTCAGAAACCAGAATAAATATAAAAATTGATATATATATTAATAGTAAATTTAAAAAATTTTTGAAATTAAGAAATTAAGATTATTTTCTCAATTATTTCTTAAATTTACTATTATTTGAAATAAAGAATATAATATCCATTGAAATATCAAATAGTATTGTCATTAATTATTTGAAATAATTCTTTTTAAATTATTATTTAAAATAAAATTCACTCAAATCTGTTTTATATATTTTATATGATATTCTATATATCGGAAATAATTGCTCACAATGATGTTCTTAGCAACATATTTCAAATTCATTAAAAACTGGTTTATTAAAAGTAAACTATAACTTTTTTTAAATATGCATAACTTTAAATAATTTATAATATATAATAATATTGCATTCATATTTTATCTATAGAATAGTAGATTTCTGTGCAAAACTTTGAGATTTTTTAATTTTTCTTTCAAATATTCTTTGTAAAAAAATTCGTGAAATTTATTCTATGCCATAATCAAAAGTTGGTAACATTATTCAGAAAATTATTCAATAATCAGTAAATGTATATGAATTTATTATGAATCTATCATTATATAATTTGAACTAGATCTATCACTCATGCGTCATATTCTGTGAATATTCTTACAATAAATTAACACATCATGTATGTAATACGTATATTGTAACAAGATCGTATTAACGTTGGATATTAGATCAGAAACGATAATGTCCCAGAGATTATCAGATTGTGAGTTTCATATGACATATAGATTGGTTCAAACACGTCCAATAATTTAGTCGAATGGCGAATAATTTAGTATGAAATTGTGGATTATTTCAAATAAGTTTTTAAAATCCAATTATCTCTAAGGATAAGACTCCTATACCTATCTAAAAGGAATGATTTCAATGAAATTATTTGAAATGTGTTGTCAAATTCAACATTTTGAACAATTTTTTTCTATACATATTATCGTTGATAAGTCTTAATTTCTCAAAAAACTATATTGTAGAGAAAGAAGTTTTGATATATTTTAACCAAAATATAGAATAATCATAATCATAATTCGAAAAGAAGGTAGACTTGAGTAGAGTAAGGTAGAAAGACTTTCTCACCGATTCTCAGTGATAGAGATTTAATCTATGATTAGATTAAATTAAATTTTTAGATAGATAAATTAGTTTTCCAAATTATTGCTCAATTATACTCAATAATTCAATAAAAGTGAAGTTTATATTTCCTTAGATTTCCAAAAAATCTAAATGCAATTAATTTTATAATTAATTTTAATTAGATTAAATTTAATTTAACTGTAATTATTAATTATTATCTTACTATAATTATGATTGCAATTTATATAAGATTTTATTTTTAAACATTCGATGTAAATGTAATATAAGGATTATAATTTACTTTTTGCAATAATTTTGAATCGTAATTTTGAAATCTATACTTTGAACAAAATATATATTATTCTTCCTTTTACATATTCAAAATTTCGAAAAATTGGAATTGAGACTTTTCTTTGTAAATAATATAGGCAGAAAAATAAAATACATAGGCAAAATTTATTATAGAAATATCGATAACTTTTTTATGAATATTTCAGAAATTAGAATTGAACGATATTATAAAAAAAAGTTGTAGAATCATGGCTTCGATAAAATATCTCGAGATTATCGAAATCAATAAAAAATATTCTTTCATAAATAATTATTAAACGATTTTAATTCAATACTCAAATCTATTTCGTTATTTTTCTGTAAATTTTTTGAGTATTAAAAATAAAATCTTCCATTAGTAAAATATAATAATAAATCAATAAACTTATGCAGACGCATTTCTTTATTATTAAATCTATTTTCTTTCTCTCAATTACAAAGCTTAAATAAAATTTTTCATAATTTTTTATAATTGTTCGGATATTTTTCTGTATAATGTATATTATATATAATATACTTATACCAATAGTACTTTTACATTTAGTATACTTATACTATTTATATAATAAGTAATTACTTACCATTCGAATAAATTATTGAATAAGTAAAGTATAATATATAGTATATGGATATTATATATATATATATGATATGTAACTCTTTCTGTTTCTGTTTCTGTGTGGTTATGTGGCACTGTATAATGCTTTAATGGAAATATAAATTTTTTACTTCAATGATAATTAATTTCGATCTTGTATAAAATAAAATTTTTATCTTTAAAAATTCAAAAAAATTTTATTATTTAAAAATTAAAATTTTTAATAATAATTAAAATTAATATTAGATGAAATTATTATTTCATAAAATAATGTGGTGAATTAATTGTATCGAATTTTCAATTTCCAGTTCTAATTTAATTTACATTTGATCAGAATGTGTAAAGATTAAATATTCTAATTAAGCAATTTAACTAATTTATTCAATTTATTAATAACAAATAATGGACTAAAGCGTTTATTTTTTATATATAATTCAATTATATAAAACTTATTGGATCTTAGTTTACACAATTTTTCTTCATTATTCTTCTGATTAATAACCTTAAAAAATAATAAAAACAACTTCCGAAAAATATCTCAAAACAGTTCCTAAATAGGTAAATATTCAATTTACGATCTCATTAATATGAAGTTAAAGAACTTTTAAGGCAAATATGTTCTCGATTCAAATCTGAAAAGCTGAGGGATTTGTTACAGTTCAACTTCAACTTATGCTATTACGATATAAGTTAAGTGAAAGTTTGTCCGTGTGACTCAGCAATTAGATGTGATTTAAACTAAAACTATCCATCATTCCAAGCAACATTTGGCGATGCTATTAATAAATATATTTCTTCATTTGTTGCCATAATTTTCACATTTCTATAAATTATTTTATTTAAACCAGCAAATAATATAGTAAAAAGCACATAATAATATAGTGAATCTATATTCGATGAAAAATTTCCGATATTTTAAATTGTATTTTAAATATTTTCATAAAAAAAAAAATCATACAATAATCAGCTTGAATTTATTTTAAAATATAAAACTCCTACTTTCACAATCTTGTCTTAATTTTGTTTTTTATTTTTTTGATATCTTGTAACAAATAGAAATATAAAGATATTTTTTTTTCAAAAATTTAAAAAATTCAATCGATTATAAAAATATTGAAAAATTCTTTTCATTACTGAATTCACAATAAATTTGAAAATTGAATACTTTTTATAATACTAAAAGACTTAAAACTTATTATATAATTATTTTTTCGCTAAATTACATTTAAAATAATAAGAATTTAATGTTTTTTGAATTTTCGTCTAATTCTAATATTTAAAATTCAGTAATTTAATAAATATAATCATACAACAATTTTTAGAAGATTATTATAAAAAAAAAGACTTCAATTTTTAAATCTATTATGGATTTAGTTTTAAAAAAATTGTTCAATGTTTTTACAACCCATTGAATTTTTCAAATTGTTGAGAAGAAAAGTATTTTATTTTTTTATTTGTTACATGATGTAACATAATATAAAAACATTTAAAAAACAAATTCAGAAATATATAAAATAGAAATTTCACACTTTAAAGAAAATTCAAATTAATTTGTACAATTTTTTTATAAAATTATAACAATTTAAAATATCGACAATTTTTCATCAAGAAATAAATTCATTTTTCATTAAATATTTTATTTATCAAGTTGTTTTAGATGTTATTTCATGAAAGTCAAGAAATTATGTTTATCTCAAAAAAATAAAAATGATGGTTGTAAGTCAAGTTCTTTTCATAATAATTTTTATTTTGTTGATTTCAAATATCTGTCAAATGATTCATATATACATTCGATGTTAAAAATTTATTCTGAATAAATCTTCCAATTTAATCTCTGTGTTGTATTAAATTGATATTAAACTATAGTATACTATATTGAACTTTTTTTTAATGCAAAAAAATATTCAAAAAATTAAAAAATATTTACACAAATATTTTTAACAAATTTTCATTCAATAATACTGAAATATTTTTTATTTATATCCTCTTTTATTTGATTAAAAATGGCGAGATTCGAATTATTTATTGAATATTTCTATTCTT